AAAACTATAGCCAAGCCAATGTTTACTAACAATCTACCAGCTCATTCTATTGCACTCGTGAGAACTAGTGATAACCACTGTGAGCTGTCCTAAACAAGGATTTCTAATTAGGACACAAGTCTGCACAACGCCAATAATTACTCCGCAAATGTGCCGGAGACCATTCAGAATGAAACGAAACGAGCTAACACTATCCGTGGGGGAGTACTTTGCAAGTACCGTTATGTTGCATAAACTGAAAAGGTTATTATAAACTTCTCAGTCCTTTAACAAATAATAATAAAAATAGAATGATAAGAGACAGTTGGGATTCGGCGGCGGTTCTCTTCCATAAAAGGCGCAGAAAGCTGTACTCCTTTGACACTGCACGAATAGTACGACGTTTTCATTCCTGGGATCCTGAACTCCGCTCGATTGTACTTTTGTATGGCAAACTGCTATCATTCCTCTTCAAGAAGAGGGATGTATTTTTATAGATGAAAGATTTACTTTGTACAAACAAGACAAGCATTGATTGCGTCACTTGTCACTAGCGACATAATGGTTCCATACTGTTCTCATAGATGTATATTGGTGCCACTTGCCAATGCAAACTATTGTAAACCGATCCTAATTGTAGCTAATTCCTATCTGTTGTTACATGAGTGCAGTATTAAATTGTCATTAGCAATAGAGATCGATGGTTTGAGATCGATGTTGGATTCAAGAGTTATCCTACTGTTTGTTTGTTTGTTTATTGGTTATTATTATAATTTAATTGCTTTCTATTTGTATACAATTGTTATTTTCTTTTGTTTGTTTAGTTTTGATTTCTTTTGTTCTTGTTTTGTGCACTACTGTGTGGGCCACATGCTTCTTCGATTAAATTATTTCTTTCTTTCTTTCTTTTTTCTTCATTAACTTAACAGATTAGGGGATAGAAAGGATTAGTAGTACTAAAGACTTTGTTTTTAATAGATGAAATTGAAATGATAATTACTCTTGCGCTATTGATAGACGCTGGAAGGACACCAGTGAGAGATGATACAAGAAAATGAAAACAGGCCAATTAGGCAATCGGGATGAATTCCACAAGAATTAATCATGATGGTTTCCAGGGGGAACCACGTGGAGGTCGACATAATAGAGTACATTGTTAGCAATGGGGTTAATTATTGATGAATTACATACGATGGGCCAAGTGGTCTGCTTATCCTCAGTTATCATTCCTATCTGGTGCCCCGTCAGCATAAGCGTACGTAGGCAGAGTAACCATGCCATTCTCACACATTAAAAATAAAAGATGTTATAAATTTTATGAAAAAGTGATGCCTGAGATAGGTATTTCAATACTTGTATTATAGCATGCTCTTAGCATTTACAGAGCTCTGTATTTTAGACTTTATTATGAACAAGAGTATAATTGCTTGATGGATTTTATAAAATTTGTCGCAATGAGACTGACTTGACTTCATTCTCACTGAAGTGAAATGCCGTGTGGGCCCGGCATAAGCTACCCGTAAATAAGCCACCCGTAAATAAGCCACCCCTTCTTTTCCTGTGGGTGTTGTAAGAGGCGACCAAGAGCCAGCCAAGCGTGGGCAACTACTGACACAGCTTCCCAAAGAGGAGGCTTATGTTCAGCAGTGGACAGTTAAGAGCTGATATGATGACGATAAAATGGGAGAGGAAGAAATTGTTAATAATACAGACTAGTCCCATTGCTAGCAATGTGCCCTGACCACGACGACGACCTCCACGTGGTCTCCCCTGGAAACCATTGTGATGAATTTCAGATGTATGTATCATAATAGGCTAACTGACCTGCCTTTTCATTCTCACCCATCAATACTTACTGTTGTCCTGCCAGCGTATACCGTTAGCGCAGACGGGGTTACCATTCTATTACTATCCATTAAAAAAAGATGATCATGAAGTAGGATGAGGATACCGTCCTATTTTCATTAATTAAAACAAAACAACTGTTAGAGTAATTGAGTTACGTAATGCTGAAGTTTCAACATTTATGAGCGGTGTCTGGAAAGTCGCCAAAAGTCTGGAAACAATGGAACGTACAATATTCAATCTACAGCAGACCATATACGGGTGGCTGGTACACGAGGTGGTCCCCTGTGCACATTTATCTCTGTCTATACGAGCCAGCTAATCTCGGCAGCCACTAAAAGAAATGAGATTTGATTTTCTATATTATTATCAAGACGTGAAATTTCATATGAAAGGGTTAGGTGATGTTTTCATACTTGAAACTTTAATATTTATAATTAAACTAGTTACCAGACCCGGTTTCTCATGATTTTTTAAAATAAAATACAGCCTATGTTCTTCGTTGATCATATATTTTGTTTTCTAAAAATGAAAGTATTTTTAAAATCAATTTATTTTCTTTTAAATTTTAATTGTAAAGCCGGTAACGCACCTGCAATGCTTCTCGTGTTGCGGGTGATCATAGGCGGCGGTAGTCACTTAACATCAAGTGAGATGCATGCTCGTTTGCTCTCCGTTATAACAAAAAAAAAAAAAAAACAATATTTCCTGTTCTTTTTTTTTTATACGATTTAGAATGACAAACAAGCTGACGGCCCACCTGATGGAAAGTGGTAACCGTCGCCTACGTCGACATGACCAGTACCATGGACATAACAGAGTATACTGTTTCGCCCATGAAACCCCCCATGCGTTACCATTCCTGAGGACTCAGGTGTTTCCTCTTTACCTTTCCTCTATTCCTCTGTACCCAGTAAATTCACGCCATATCCCACCCTTCAAACCGAAACACAGCCATGCAGACACAACTGCTTCACGGTTGAAACACGAGTGGGACAGAGGTACCCAAGCAATCGATTTTTGTACAAAGTCTCCCTCTGGTGTTTATAAGAATAATTTCGATTTAGATAACATTGGGTATAATAGTGTAATATAAACGCAATATGTATGTGCCGTGTGGTCCCGGCATAGAATAGGCCACCCCTTCCTTTCCCGTGGGTGTCCTAACCCCCCACAAGGTAGGCTTATGTTCAGCAGTGGGCGGTTAAGGTCTGATATGATGATGTTAAACGAAGTGTAGGACTACCCCCTACTAGATGGAGTGACGACCACAAGTGCAGGGAGTCGGTGGATGCACGTAGTTCAGGACCGTTCCTTACGGCAGTTTCGGGGAGGTTTATGTTCTACAGTGAACAGCTATCTGCTGGTATGGTGATTGTGATAATGATGTTTTAGTATTAAGAAATAAATAAATATATATTTTACACAATCAGGACTTAACGCGATGTAAAAGTTATTACAGGTAAATAGTACTTCCATACCTGCTTATTTATTAGCGACGTTTCGACGTGCATTGCACCACGTCATGGTCAGGACAGGATTTTATCTGTAAAATCTTTTACATCACGTTAAGTCCCGATTATTTATTTAAAATATGTGATATAATACGAGAAAGTTTAAAATTAAATAAATACTTTTTTGTTAAATGTATACTAGTGAAATAATCACAATATTTTTAGCTAAAATTCAAAATATACTGTCAAAATTAAAAAAAAATTCAAAATTCAAAAATCATTTATTCATGTAGGACATTTTAGCCGCTTATGAACGTCAAATTTTGTCAGCTGAATATGGTGTGTACGTCTTGAATGGAATCGTAGAGATGGGTGTTAGGAAGGAAGGAATATTTATGTTTGTTTCTATACAACTTATAATAGCACACAAAGCAACGGTCTACCAAATGAAAAGACATAACCGTCGCGTGTAGACATGAATACTAAGGGCATCACAGAATATACTGTGATGCCACTAGCGCCCTCCATTTTTCCCAGTCTCAAAGACTAAGATGTGTCCTCAAGCACAGCTGTTATATTGCAGAAACACAAGTGGGACAGAGGTACTCAAGCTAATTTTAAAGATCCTCCACTACACTTCAGGTACAATATTAACCCAACGCTCGGTTTACACTACTAATACAATCGCCTATGAGTATTTTAGCAAACAGTAGCTTTCAAGTGAACTAACTATACATATTTGCTTTAGTAAAATTATTCGCGTAAAATACTTGTATTCGAGTGCTGTGAAAGCACTTATAGTAAGTGTTTCAGTAATGTAATCGGGACTTATTAATATAAACCGGGCTTATACTAACACAGATATTAGAATATCAACCTTAACTAATCGAACATAAGGTCTAGAATAATACTGTTTAAAGGAGAAGTCAGCAGTTCTGGGAATTGACGTTTTTTTATAATACAAACAACCCATTCTGGCTTTGCGCGGTTTTTTTTTAAGAACATAAACCATTTTACTCACTAATTACGTAACTTTCTATAGGTTTTGTTTTATAATAAAAAAGGGCAAATGAGCATGCGGCTTACCTGATGGTAAGTGGCTACCGCCGCCCATGGTCACGCACAATACCAAAGGCATTGCAGGTGTGCTGCCGGCCATTTAAAAAGGAATATGCTCTTTTCTTGAAGGTTATGATGTCGTATCGGAAATACTGCTGCTGGAGATTGATTCCAAAGAGTTGTATATGTATGAAAATGCCTTGAAAAACGCACGGTCGAGGACTGTCACTCATCCAGATGGTTGGGATTGAAGTTTAGTTTGTGACGGATTGTACTATGGTAAAAATCAGCAGCTGGTATCAATCTGAACAATTTCTCAGAGCACAGGTAAAAGTATTTTTTGTAAATGAGTATTTGTTTGCGCCTTTCCTTTTTGTGTGTATAAATTTATGGGTGCAGGAACTCTTCAATAACTCGTTTACTGTTACTTTTGTGAAATATGAGTTTATTATACGAAATATTATTAGGATCAATCATTGCTAATTACAGAGAGCGAGCGAGTCAAGTTCATGTCTATCACCGCAGTAGCAGACCGTTGAAGTCTCACTTCACTCCGTTGACGTTTTATCTATTTTACTCAATAGATGGCACCAACATGGCCCCGCCTTTGAAAGCTGCAGGTATACAGATTTCAACATAAACAGGGTCGTCTTTCTCCTCCTTTCATTCTGCATCTGATGGCTGAGGTGGAAGCGGACATATTTTAGAAGTGGCACGTTGTATGATACCAGTTGCAGTGCGAATCTCTGCCACTCGGGATACTCCATCCTTGCCTGGAAAAGTGCGCAGAATTCGACCCATCCGCCATTTTAGTGGTGGTAGGTTATCTTCTTTGATGAGAACTAATGTGTCTTGGCCGATATCTGGTTGCTGTACCTTCCACTTCGTTCTGGTTTGAAGCTCCGATACGTACTCCTTAGACCAGCGTTGCCAGAAATGTTGCCTCATTTGCTCTATACGGTCATATCGCATCAGGCGATGAGTTGCAGTAGACGTCAGGTCTTTGCAAGGAAGCGCGGTCAGAGGCCGCCCGATAAGAAAATGTGAAGGAGTAAGGGGAAGGAAATCATTAGGATCCGAGGACAATGGGTACATAGGACGAGAATTTAGGATAGCTTCTATCTGTGTTAGGACAGTCGTAAATTCTTCAAAGGTTAAGTTACTATTGCCAACAACTCGTCTAATATGGTGCTTACAAAAGCGGACCCCTATCTCCCATAAACCACCGAAATGAGGAGCATACGGCGGAATGAATCGCAATTTAATACCATTGTTTGTAGTGAAATCTTCGATTTGAGTAGCATTTTCATTTAGAAATAATGACAATTCTTTCTGTGAACCCACAAAAACTTTTCCATTGTCACTAAATATTTCTATCGGCTTACCGCGACGAGAAATAAAACGTTTTAAAGCGAGTAAATAATCATTTGTAGAAAGACTAGATACTAATTCCAAATGTATAGCACGAGTGGTAAAACACACAAATATACAGATATAACCTTTCATAAGTGCAGCACCTCGTCCTCTGCGATTCAGTATCATCACCGGTCCGGCATAGTCGACGCCACAACGCATGAAAGGGTAACCTGGTTCTAAACGTTCAGACGGTAAGTCGCCCATTATTGGCGTTAAGGTTTTCCCTCTCATGCGTACACATGTAACGCATTGCCGTACAACTTTCCTAGCTAGGTTTCGACCCGCGAGTGGCCACCAATTTTCTCGAATTGTAGATAAAAGTAATTGGGGTCCCGCATGTAGTAACCTTTTATGTTCATCTCTAAATAAAAGTGTACTAAAATAATTTTTACTTGAAATTAATATTGGGTATTTTTTATTATAATCGAAGTGACGTGAGTTACGCAATCTGCCACCAACTCTAATTAGGCCACTTTGATCTAGAAATATGTTGAGACCGGACACTTTATTCGATTTGGTTTGATTTAATGGTAATTGTTTTAGTAAGCTGTCGTATTCATCCGGAAATGATTGTATTTGCTCAAGTCGAGCTAGCATTGTTATTGATGCGCTTAACTCATCCACCGACAACGAACCAGTTGTACGCAGGTGCTTGGGCGACCGTATGTTGGTTATGAATCGCAACACATAAGCACCAGTACGTTTTAAACGTTCGAACGAAGAGAATCGTGAAAAGTTGATAAAACTATCTTTTATGTTTGAAGCAGCACATACAATTTCATTTTTTACTTCTGGTAGCTCTATAGAAGTATAAGTACTATGGTCAACTTTACAATTAAATTGCCGACCGTGTAAAAATGTAGGACCGTCCCACCACAATGTACAGTCAACAAGTATATCGAGATAGGCACCCCTAGACGCGAGATCGGCCGGATTATTTTTGCCATTAACATGCAACCAAATTGCATCACCCGTTAACTCATTTATTTCAGTTACACGATGTTGTACGAACGTTTTCAACAAATGTGGTGACATACGAACCCATCCCATAACTATAGTCGAATCTGTCCAAAAATAGACCTTATCGAATTTAAGTCTAAGTGAGGATACGATTTTTTTGTATAATCTGGCACCTAACAATGCGCCGCATAGCTCCAGTCTCGGGATGGTGACAGGTTTAATAGGTGATACTTTACTTTTGGCGCATAATAATTTAATTGTTACTGGGGAATCTATGTTCTTATTATAAGTACGAATATATGCGCATGCACCGTATGCATTCTGAGATGCATCCGTGAATATATGTAATTCCTTTATTTCGTTATTATCACTCATTATATAACGCGGAATTCTTAATTCGTGTAAAGATTTTAATGAATTAATGAATTTTTCCCAATTTAATTTTATATTTTCTGGAACCGTGTCATCCCAATGAATTTTACACAACCATAGGTGTTGTAATAATATTTTTGCAATAATAATGACCGGTGTCAAAAGACCAAGTGGATCATAGATCTGCGATAAAATAGATAAAATAGTTCGCTTTGTGACTACGTGTGACTCAGTGATTGCGGTAGTGAAATGTAATTCGTCGCTAGTGTTGTACCAACCTATACCGAGAGTTTTATTCTGACAATGATCGCCCGTACATAACTCTTTAGAACTACTCGTTTTTACATCGTGACTAAATGTCCATTTTCTTAGTGTAAAACAACCTGATGATAACACTTGCGATACTTTATTGCATATCTCCAGTAAAATCTGCTTATCATCGTGACCGGTAATTAGGTCATCGACATAGAAATCTTCGTTTATTATCTTAGCAATCATATCATCACCGCACTCAATAGCCAATTGTTTCAGACAACGCATGCTTAAGTACGGCGCTGACGCAGTTCCATATGTAACCGTATTTAACCGGTAAATGGACAGGGGATCTGAAGGATTCTCTCTCCACACAATTAGTTGTAAATTTCTTTGATCCATTTGTATTAAGATTTGCCGAAACATCTTTTCAACATCGGCGGAAGCTACAAATTTGTACTGTCTAAATCGCAATAGTATTGAAAAGATATCGTTTTGAAGAGGCGGACCGACATACTGAATATCGTTAAGCGATTTGTTCGACGTGGTCACAGCACTAGCATCAAAAACAACACGCAATTTTGTTGTCGTACTGTGCTCACGTAAAACACCATGGTGTGGAAGGAAGTAATACGGTTTATTATATTCATCTACCTTCGTCATATGCCCTAATTCAACATATTCATGTATAAAATCATAATATAATTTTTTATAGAACGGTAATCGTTCCAACTTACGTTCTAGCGATAAGAAACGGGATTCAGCGAGTGCATATGAGTCACCGAGATGATCAGCTGACTGTTGTAAGGGAATTCGCACTAAAAATCTACCATCAGCGTTACGTTTAGTAGTCGTATCAAATAAATGTTCGCATGTATGTTCGTCTTCCGTAAGTAACTTATTTGTGATAGTTACTTCTTCTAATTCCCAAAATCGTTTTAACTGTGTATCTATCGCTTGCGACAAGTTACACTGAATAGGATTACCGTGACATGATGTGACGGTTCGCCTATAGTACAATAGGTTTAATACCATAAGTACATAAAAGAAACAGGGGTTCCTATGGGTGACCGCTACGAAAACTGAGCTATTTAATATAAACAAACTTTAAAGTCAAGGTTCACAATAGCGTACAGAGAAGACGTTACCATATATGAAATATTGACACAGAAAGGAAACTCCTTTGATGTGTTTCCAAAGTGTAGTGGATGTCACAAGAAAATTTAATAAATTAAACAAAAATATATTATATTTTATATATAACTAAATTATAGTTTACCTTTTATCATCAGATGTAAAAAAGGATGCATACAACACAGTTTAATAAGGTTTATGAGAGCCTTTAAAGTTTTATAAATTCGATAATCAATTTAATATAAAATACCAAAATACGTTAACATATAATTAAATTGAATTTAAAGAAAAGTTCAGTTCGAATAATAGGCTAAATCTGATTATTGAAATATCTACCCTTCGGTGACATAATCTATGACGTTATTAGAGAAAGAATAGAAAAAAAAAGAAAAAAAAGGGGAGACGGCAGATCGGCGGGCGCGCGGGAGTCGCTTTTTAGGAATTGCGCAATAAAAAAAAGAAAAAAGAAAAAGGGAAAATGGCGCGGGAGTCGTGTTTTAGGAACTGCGCAATAAAATAAAAAAGATAACTGGGATATAGAGCTAGGAGTGACTGGATCTGTGAAGGGGTTAGAGATCTTAGTGTGTCGCTGTCGATTGAGTGTGTGAAAAGAGTCAATGGAAGACTGGAGAATCCGGTGAGCTTGTTCCATTTATTACTACGTAGTTAGATTTTTGACTGTGATCACAGGCAAGGTTTATGCTTAATATTTTTCCCTACAACTATTAGTATGCGTATTTAATCGAGTCCATGTACCTTTGGGTAATGCGTATATCGTTGAATGCAATCACATTTGAACAAAGATCTACATCAATATAATTTACGTAATAATAATACATACTTACGTTATTCTACTCATATACAAGATTCAATTATATGGCTGTTTGATAGAAATTCATCGATTTGACTCAATGTTCTAATTGTCTAGTTTTGGCAAATACTTATTGAATCAACTATTGAACTATTACAATACTAACTAGTTTCATATCTAGTTATTATATTTATTTATTGAGGATAAATAGACTGAGGTGGCTGTGGTCTGGTCTCATTGCTGGGGAAGCAGCCATTGATGAGACAGAGGGGTTATTGAGTGGCGACTCTGTATATGCAAGTGTGGTGAGGGCTGCCTCCGTTGGTTGGAGTGACTGTTTTATGTGTATTATGGGGACTCGGTGGGTGCAGGAGTTTGGGGCTGTTCCTAGTGGCAGTCTATGGGGAATTGCCTGTGTTCAGTCGTGGATTGGTGATGGTTGAGACGATGATGATGATGGAATAGTTGTATTTATTACACTATTACAGTGTTGATTTGGAACACCTGCTCATGCTTAACGTCTCATGGTAAAGTGTTTTCATACCATTGCTCGGTCAACTGTACTAATGATTCTTTTGTATACTTTTAATTACCCATGATTACATGTGGGAATTTGTTTTACACCAGATGTACAGAGAAACAGCTTAGCTGTTGCAGGTGATTTTATGTGAATGTATTACTTTTAATACATTAATGTGTTAGTAGATAAATTCATGTAACGGTGGGATGTTTATGGTAAACAAGCCTGTATTGTTTAAATAGATATTTTGTCTTGATTTATTATAAACCTTAATATTGATTTTGTTGTAGTAAGCAAGCTGATAATAACAACTCTTTGTATATTACTGCTTTTAATAATATTTAATTATATTGATATTATAGGTGTGGATTTATTTCCTAATGGTAATAAATGTACTAAAGGATTCTTTGACTATAGTTACTCTTAACTAGGTATGAGGTTCAGTATAAAATTGGTACTGTATGACACTTGTGAAGCTATGTATTTTACTCATATTTAGAAAGGAAGTTGTCCTGGCGATAAGGTTTGTATGTGTGTTGTTTGTTCATGTTATATTAACAAATTCAGACAGGGTTAATATTAGTGAATATTGACTGGATTTATTTTTAATATACATGTTTTGAATATTTTATGGGAATAGTATGGAGATATACAAGTAGTAAAATATAATATTAGTATTTTATAAATTTAATTATTGAGTTATATGTTTATGTCGGACTGTATCCAAAGAGATATTATCCTATTAATATCAAGTTAGGACAATTACTTTAAATATTAATAAAGTAAACACTAACACTGATTATTCACTTCTTTAATAAATTTACATTAGAGGTTAGGAATCAAATAGATAGCATATTGGGAAATCTTCACCACACATGTATTTGAGAAATGTTCTTGATAATTAGTACTGTATGTATATATTATTGCAAGTACAATTGCAATAAGAATGTTAAACTTCTAATCTTCTGTTCATTCTTGAATTTGAAAGTAAGCTTGGCTACTGATATGAATATAAAGCTGCAGCATTACTGGATACTATTAATTATTTCTGGTGTAAACCATAATTATTTATGTCACTGATAATTTAGTTGTATATTACGGTTGATATATGATGATTTTATATTTAATTATATTAAACAAATACAAATAAACAAACTTGCTAGTATTTATTACGTTGACAGTTGTGATAGATAATCAAAATTCAATTCAATACATCAATACGTCATTCAATACGTCATTAATGTGACAGATGTCAAACAAAAGGAGATTATACACGTTATGATTCTATATCTAAGTCTATAGAAAATTTATATAATTTTCTGTTATTTTATAATAACTGTAGGGGAAATATTGGAATTATTTATATGAGAAATTTCACTTAAATGATATGATAATTATTTAAAGACCTAATTTCTTAGGGATTTAATTATGATGATTTAAACACTAAAACACTTGTTTATCTGAGAAATCCTCTTAGTAAATAGGTTTACTAAGACACTAAAAGGAAGTAGATATAGTATAACTATAGTACAGCTACAATAATTGTATGGGACTTACTGTCCTTTCTATACAAATATATATTTAATCTATATCTTTCACATTATAATTATGCAATATATTGCCTCTACTACTACAACATACACAAATAGGACTTATTGTCCTTCCTATATACCTATATATAATAATTGACCTGGCACTTTAATGTGTAATTTATCAGTACTTATGACAACAACCAATTAGGACTTATAGTCCTCTCTATAAAGCTACATAATTATTTAATCTGATTATTTCACAATGTGATTAATCAAACCTCTACAAATATTACAAAAGATCTCTATTACTCTCAACACAATAATAGCTTGTTGGACTTAGTGTCCTCAAACTTATAGAAAACCCAACTGGTTATTTCACGAGACGTTGTTAACTTGTGATTAATCAGTGTCTTTTAAAGGACTTATAGTTCCTTTAGATATATCTCTCTGAATAAATAATTGGTTAATTCACAATGTGGTTAATCAACAATAATATTATATATAATTGACTGGACTTATAGTTCATTCAATAGCACTCATTACTTTTAGTAGCTCTCGACCTATGGGTTGGACTACTCGTTCTTAGGCTCCGGCCTAATCAACAGATTTAACTTGAACCTTGAGTATTCTTGGTATTAAGTAAATAATATTAAATTGACAATGCTATGTTATGATATAGCAATTATCAACATTATATGGCTTGGCCAATTCCAGGGTGTGGAAGGTATCCCCTATCACACAAATCTTCATCTCTATCGGACTGTCTTCACAGGTGATCTCTAATGTCACATTATAGGGCCGAAGGGTTATGTCCCAACAAAGTAAGTTCTGGTGTCTGGGTGATCTCGCTTCTTGGTCTGATCTCTTGTGGAGCCGAAGGGAAACCCCATTGAGTAAGCTCGTAACAGGGTGACGCTGGGAAACAGTTTCGTACTGTTAGTGGGTGATCTCTATGTCGCCATATAGGACTGAAAGGGTCATCGCCCATGAGTAAGCTCTCGTGTCGGAGTGATCCTGGGATTTCAGTTCCGATCCTTTTGCCTCTGGCAAACACCAATTTATACTGGAAGCATCGTGGGGCTGGTGGAGCCACTGTAATGTTGAAGTAAATGTACTTATGTTTGGTTTGGAACTGAGAATACTCATGCCCTTATTACCATCAGAGTGCATTAATAAATAGTAATACCCTTCCCTACCTTTTAGGAGGAAGAGTTATAGATAGTTGGAAAGTCTTCCACTGGTCCGGGCGTGTGAGGGGCCCGACCGCTCCCCCATTTTTTTTTATTATTACAGTTATTCTGTAATTTACTATTAAATTAACATAACCTTCTAGTTTCATGAATTATGAGTATAATTCATTAATTATTCTTAATCCTTAAAGATTTATCAATCATCTTCATTATTTAACTCCTATCATATACCAATTAAAGAACCTTTTGGTTATTACACACACAACGGGTCCTACATTACTAGACGATCACACATTTATTTATCTGGCCAAATGATCAAGTGTTCTACTAAAGATCTGTTCAATATTATGTTTTATTGTAAGGGTTTATATGATTCATAGGATATTTGGGGTGTATAAGGCAATATAGGTATGGGGTTATATTGAGGGTGTTAGGCTATCCTTTAGGGTAGGTTTTCTTTAGATTTTCATGGATTTTCATTAGGTTAAGCCTTCGTAGGCTTTTCATAGGCTTTGTAGGTTTTCCACGTGTAGGTTAGTTAAGAGGGTAGTTATTATAAGGGGTGCAAAAAGGGGGGGGACCATCACAATGAGCTGTCGGAATGAATGGAACCTGATATTAACCATCCCAATTTAGAATTCTGTAGGAATGGTCCACTCGGCAACCGAATTCTATTTTCGTATAATATATCCCAAAACAAATCCGCACCTATTAATAAGTCAATTGCAGATGGTTCATTAAAGGTGGGATCGGCAAGTTGAATGTTGTCCGGAATACGTAACGATTTATAATCCATTGGTTTTGACGGTATGGTCGACGTAATGCACGGCAAAACCATACATTGAACTCGCATTTTATAATCGTTTACCTTCGATCGTATATTAACTTCGCATATTTTATTCGACTGAGTGAGTGATTGTCCCACACCTGTAATTCGTATAGTGGACTGTATAGATGATATGTTTAATTGTTGAAATAATTGATTTGAAATGAAAGAATGTTGACTTCCATTATCTAGAAGTGCACGTATTGTAAAACATCTTTTATTGCCGTCGAATATATCAACAAGTGCAGTGCATAACAGAACTTGTTGCATAGGAAATAAAGTCGTATTTAAATCACCCGTATTATTCGTTTGAGAGTGAAGTGCGGTCGATGACCTTCGCGCGTTATCAGCTGGTAGTGAATAATGCGCACGATCAGCTGATGCGCTCGCGACCACCTCGCCGTCCGTATGAATTAAACTATTATGTTTCTTATTGCAACGCTTACAAGCACCAAAAATGCATTCGTTTACGGTGTGCCCAGAACGTAAACAATTTTGACATAATTTTTTGTCATCTATCAATTTAATTCTATCCTTTACAGATAAATTTAAAAAGGATATACAAGTATAAAGTGCGTGGTTTTCACTACACATAATACAGTTCCGTATGCGTTTATTATTCAGTTTACTATTATTTGTTCGCGTTGTAACGTAACTATGTGTAAACTGTGAATGATTCGAATATCTTTTAGAATCGTGTACTGGTTTACGTTCGAGAATAGGTTTATTCGCTAGTACCTTATGATTTACGAGAGTAACCTCTAACATGTCGGCCTTGTTTCTCAAAAAGTTTAACAAATCGTCTAATTTTAATTTATTATTAGGGTCACTGGAAATCGAACCTTTATGATTTTCCCATTCTCGTTCCGTATTTGCGTCTAATTTAGTTAAAACTAAATAAATAACTAAGGTATCCCACGAATCAGTCGGTTCACCTAAAGTTTGAAGGGCACGTAAATTTCGTAAAATCGTATCAATTAGTTTTCTTATTTGCAACGGTGACTCCTTTGTAACAGATGAAGCTGAAAACAATGATCTCACATGATTATAAACTAGTAAGCGGTTATTATGAAATCTGTTTTCAAGTAATTCCCAAGCATGATTGTAGTTAGACGCTGTGAACTCTAACGCACTAATTACTTGTAATGCACAACCGCTAAGAGAGGATTTTAAATAATGTAATTTCTGAATGGCATCAAGGTCTGTACGTTCATGAATCATAGTTATATAAGAATTTCTGAATTCTAACCACAAATCGTACGATCCGTCGAAGCACATTAACTTGATTTCAGGTAGCTTTACAGCTACAGGTTTTGAAATTATGGACTGTGAACAATTGGAATTAGTATTTTTGTCCACCTCTATCAAACATTTTGCAGCGGCGATATTACTATAGTACTGTTCTTCTATTAATTCTCTATATTCTAACTGGTTTTCTAATTCCTTTTTGTCAACGAGTACGTCTATTTGATTTTGAATATCACAATAGTTATTAAAACATTGTGTAATTGTATCGATTCGTAAACTAATTTCTGTGATTTGCATTTTCGTTAACGTTAATGATTTATATTTACTAATATATTTTTCGAACAATGTTAATCTACCCTTCACTGTACCCCGAAGCTTTTTGAGATCATTAAGTTTATGCAAATCAACGAGATTATTGTCTGAAAATTCATCGTCACTCATTTCGGAAGTTTCTATAAAAAAAAGATAGAAGTACCTACTTATAATTTAGTATACGTGACGTGGTTAACAAATTTTTTTTTTTTCTTCACGTCTGGAAATAGGAATCGCTTGATGAAATGCACTGTTGTAAATGTTAATGAAGTTTAAACACTGTTAACACAAATTTCGCTTAGGATAAAAGGATACAAAAGGAATGGTGGCTCTGACTGTTTTCCCACTGATTCTTCAGATATTCGGCTACGAAGACCACTTTGTTTGCGCCTTTCCTTTTTGTGTGTATAAATTTATGGGTGCAGGAACTCTTCAATAACTCGTTTACTGTTACTTTTGTGAAATATGAGTTTATTATACGAAATATTATTAGGATCAATCATTGCTAATTACAGAGAGCGAGCGAGTCAAGTTCATGTCTATCACCGCAGTAGCAGACCGTTGAAGTCTCACTTCACTCCGTTGACGTTTTATCTATTTTACTCAATAGATGGCACCAACAGTATTATTTGAAGTTATTCATTATAAACAATGGAATCAAATCTTTCCTTTTTATAATATTATATAGATATATCTATTATTTATAAAAAAAGGAGAGCTTGTAAGAATAAATGGATTTTTGTTATTCTTTCACGCAAAAACTACAGATTGAAATTTGAAATAACAGTAAGTTTATTCCAACACAGATTATTTTATCTACTAATAGGTATACTGAATGTATACTTTATATACTGACTAGCTTTTGCCCGCGACTTCGCTCGCATTGAATTCCGTTATGTAACAAACCCCATTTCATATCTTTCGCCGCTTCAAAGGTAAAAGTTTTAAATATGAAGTCTCATAATTTCTGTCTTCAAAAATGCCAGACTTCCGTGCAAAGTTTAACCCCATATTTCACTCCCTCAGAGGATGAACTCTGACGTGTATTTTTATAATGTCCGAACGCGTACTTTGTGTTTTATAATCAATCATCTCAAATAAATATATACAAAATTACATCTTTAATTTCAAGTATATAATTTTTTTAAAAATCTGGAACACATATTTATTTCTAATTAACTGCTGAGCTTGACCTTCTACTTATGACTTCGCATGCATCTACTTAAATTATAGTACGATAATCTTTCTTTCCAGTGAGAGTACCAGAGGGAGACTTTGTACAAAAGTCGATTGCTTGGGTACCTCTGTCCCATTCGTGTTTCAACCGTGAAGCAGTTGTGTTTGCATGGCTGTGTTTCGGTTTGAAGAATGGGATATGGCGTGAATTTACTGGGTACAGAGGAATAACACCTGAATCCTCAGGAATGGCAACGCATGGGGGTATCATGGGCGAAACAGTATACTCTGTTATGTCCATGGTACTGCTCATGTCTATAGGTAACGGTTACCACTTTTCATCAGGTGGACCGTCAGCTTGTTTGCCATTCTAAGTTCTATAAAAAAAAGAATAATTTAGGGGTAAAAAGTAGTCTATGTTACTGGATTGATTGGATTAGATAGATATCTTTCTAATGGTTTAAGACTTATTACAATTAGTTTTAATATTTCTTAATTACAAAAAATAATTCACTCCTTTTTACAATCTTAATATATGTGTAGTTGCGACAGGTATTTCTTTTTACTCATACAGTATACAGCAGGCGTTTCCAAACTTATTTTGTCTACTGCCCATTTTGAGAATAAATTATTTTTAGCGCCTCCATTTTTTCACCTACTTAAGAACCACTATTACTTCAAAATCAACAAATCACCCCCCAAGCCTCTACACAACGACCCTATTTTTTTTCAGGTTCTCTTACCGCCCCCCTTTGGCCTGCAGCACCCACAAGGGGGCGTTATCGCCCACTTTGGGAAAGACTGGTATACAGGAATATTACATTTATAAATTATGTGGTCACATATGAAATAGATGTAAAAGTTAGAAACACCTCGCCCCTGTCGGCTGCACACGCCGTCCCCCGCCCCCGCCCAGATCTTGCCATGGTGCAGGCATGGTACATTCTGGGCTGAACTTACTCGATACATAAAATCCGATTTTATTTCTCTCAAATTAAAATACTGTAATGAAATATTAATGACTTGTAATAATGTATCATTTATATTAATTCCTGGCTCAGTGGCCTGAAATAAACTTTGTATTAATTATATTTAAATAGACAAGGGTTTATTCCCAATTTAGGTATTTTCAAATGTAGTAAAACTATTTAGTAAATGTCTAAATTTAAAACTTTGCTTCCCATCCTTAGTAAGTTAACATTAACAAATTTACTTATAAATTTTCATCTAAATCAAATCACCCTTATCTCATCCGCTTAGAAACAAAATTTCCAAAAAAGAATCTTCTTAAAACATTTTGTTTTCAATTAAAAGTCTAAAAACAAACTTTTTTACTTCTAACTTCGAAATAACAGAATTCCTGCACAAATTTTCATCTCTTATTTCGCCCCTTTATGGAAAAATCTTAATATCTAATCAGACTAACTTTCATCACCTGTGGCTTTTGAAAATATTTAGTAACCATTTAGTAATTAAAAAGCGCTGTAGCAATTAAATTGCTGCAGCACATGCTGAGTGGTGACCACGTTGGCAATAACAAATGTCAAGTTTTTTTTTTTAAATTGAGAATTTATGTAATTTTTTTGTTGTTGGCAATAAATGTGTTCTTTCTATCTTTCTAATTTATTCAATATACTCACGGCCACAGCGGCGTCGATCACCAGGTACAGTGGTTTATAAGCATGCGCCACTGTCGCTCGGAGCACGAAAATTCTTCGTTCGCACACTTTCAGCGCGTCCAGCACCACCTTAATAATAATAATAATTGAATTTAATACAATGGACCATCCCTTCCTTTCTCGTGGGTGTCGTAAGAGGCGACTAAGGGGCGGCGAGGGATGGGCTGCAGCGTCCCTCTTAAAACATCTCTAAAAGCCTAACTGCCAATCCACCTGCCAAGCGTGGAAACTACCGGCAAAACTCCCCTTATGGGGATTTCTTATAGCTTTTTTTATACCACTGAGGTGGCAAACAAACATACGGCTCACCTGATGGTAAGCGGTTACCGTAACCCATTAACGCCTGCAATACCAGAGGTATTACGCGTGCGTTGCCGACCCTGAAGAAATCTCTTTACTCTCTTTTTGAAGAACCCCATGCTGTAGTCTCTTGGGAAAACTTCTTGGGTTATGTTCAGTAAAGGACAGTTAACAGCTGAAATAATAATAAAATTAAAACTAAATTAATCTCACAATTAGTTTAAGTAACATTTAGTCGATGAAGCTCAGTCGGATAATGCTTGAGTTCTAGAAACAAAAGATTGAATCCCAGCCCAAACATTCTGAATTTGAAGATTCAGATATTTAAACTATTTGACTCGATATATTCAATTTAATACTTATTAATTTATAACTCATGTGTTTTAGTGTATAAAAATAAGGGGGATTTTCTAAATACACAGCAATCAACAGTTGTAAAATTTCGTTTACATAAAAATAAATTTGGTATGAAGCACACTCCACTGTCATAACATCGGCTACTTTACATCCTGGTCACGCGAATGAAGTCTCAGGCAGAGGCAGGCTTGTTAATTTGAATAAAATTGCTTTTTTAACAGCCACCTTAAGTCTGTTTTTATTCAACTTCATAAAGGACACGATTTTCTGTAATAATGTAGCTTTTTTGTTTGTAAAATAATAAATTATACAATATTTTTTTATGCGACTTAGAACGGCAAACAGACTGGTGATCCATCTGATGAAAACTGGTAACCATCGCCTATAGACTTGAACAGTACCATGGAAATAACGGTGTCGCCCATGATACGCTTCATGCGTTGCCATTCCTGAGGACTACGGTATTGTGCCTCTGTACACTCTAATTTCACTGCCATATCCCACCCATGGCATGCAATACTTTGGCAGAAATACGAATGATACTAAATGGTCAGAGGTACCCAAGCAATCGACTTTTGTATAAAGTCTTCCTCTGGTATAGTTATATATTTATTAAACTTTAATATACCTAGATAGTGTAAATGGCGGACTTAACACCATATGGCGTTATCTACCAGTCGACCGTAGACAGGAATAACAAAAAACGTAATTGAGGGTGCAACGTGATGGGGAAATAAAAAAAAAATCTAAACAATATTAATACATACGTAAATACCATACATATATACCATACATATAATAGTCATATTATCTACATTATACATAAACATACATATATACTTTATATTGTATAAAACATATGTTATACAATACGACGTAATGTCAGACGAAAAACTACTGAAATACAAACGAAATACCAACATCAGACGAAGCAAAACGTCTAAAACATATTACGATTCTAGGGATTCTAAATAAAAAGATATATATATATATATATATATATATATATATAATATATATATATATATATATATATATAACATATACTAACGCTTATATATATATATATATATATATATATATATATATATATATATATATATATATATATACCTGCCCATCCCGGCTTCGCACGAGTGGACATGTTCACAACATAAAAAAAGTGGTAATTGTTACATAACGATAATAGTTGGACATATGGGTTCGCGAAGTTTTTTGTAGTTATTGATATTTTCTGCAATATTGTACGACATACTTTTGTTCTATCACCAATAGTTTCCGCAGTGCACGCGACGAAAGATATTTTATAGCATTTTTTTACACCTTCAGATACGTTACTAAACTTTTAGTAAGGATCTCTAATATTTTCTAGCAATAAATATTACCTATGTTACTCAGAGTGAATGTAGCTATCTAATGGTGAAACAATTTTTGAAATCGGCAAAGTAGTTTTTGAGTTTATTCATAACAAACATACGTACACACAAAAATAAAAATCTTTCTTCTTTATAATAATAGTGTAGACATACTCAAGAAAAGAGTAAGTTGTTACGTTGTATCTTTTATTCTTACTAATACTACAGGCTAGAAAACTTCTTCATCATTTCAGCCATTATCTGCCACTACTGTACACAAGCCTCCCCCATAGACTGCCATAAAGAACAGTCCTGAGTCATCTACATCCACTGACTCCCTGCAATGCATTTCAGGTCGTCACTCCATCTAGTGGGGGGTTGTCCTACTTCCACTACCACTACTAGAATTAATACTATAATTGTGAATTTCTTTGATTGTTCTCTTTTTACATTTTAAAGGCTCAATCAGTCGTCACAAAATTTGGCAAATAGTACATATATTATTTTTGTTTCCTCAGTGTATTATTTCCTTGTAATTGTTTGTATTTATAATAAGTTTACTGTTGTAATCTTATGGAGGAAACAATAAAGAGTATCTATCTATTTTTTATTGAATGACGATTCTGCCTGCGCTATCAGTTACCATTCCATTATCATCCATTAATTATATATATATATATATATATATATATATATATATATATATATATATATATATATATATATATATATATATATATATATATATATACATCCCGATCACGTGACCCAAGTTGCTTGGGCTATAATTAAAAAAACTTTTAGAAGTTCCTCATTGAAACCATTTACATTCTTGTCGAAAATATTTTCTTTTTATAAAATGTTTAAATTCCAACCATTTCTTTCTTTAATTTCACTTATGTTTTTTTTATGGGTAAAAATGTCATGGTTACTCTGGCTGAACTATCGGTATACACTGCCGGAGTACCAGTGAGAGGTGATAGGAGAGGATGTAAAGGCAAGTCCGTTAGTCCATTGTGACGAATTCAATAATAAATTAGTCACGATAGTTTCCAGGGAGATCCGCATGGAGGTTGACCTTGTGATGGTCCCCCCTTTTTGTGTACCCCTTATAATAACTACCCTCTAAACTAACCTACACATGGAAAACCTACAAAGCCTAAGAAAAGCCTACGAAGGCTTTACCTAATGAAATCTATGAAAATATAATGAAAATCTACCCTAAAGAAAGGCCTAACACCCTCAATATAGCCCATACCTATATTGCTTTATATATCCCAAACATCCTATGAATCATATAAACCCTTACAATAAACATATAATATTGAACAGATCTTATAGTAGAACACTTGATCATTTGGCCAGATAAATAAATGTGTGATCGTCTAGTAATGTAGGACCCGTTGTGTGTGTAATAACCAAAAGGTTCTTTAATTGGTATATGATAGGAGTTAAATAATGAAGATGACTGATAAATCTTTAAGGATTAAGAATAATTAATGAATTATACTCATAATTCATGTAACTAGGAAGTTATGTTAATTTAATAGTAAATTACAGAATAACTGTAATAATAAAAAAATGGGGGAGCGGTCGGGCCCCTCACACGCCCGGACCAGTGGAAGACTTTCCAACTATCTATAACTCTTCCTCCTAAAAGGTAGGGAAGGGTATTACTATTTATTAATGCACTCTGATGGTAATAAGGGAATGAGTATTCTCAGTTCCAAACCAAACATAAGTACATTTACTTCAACATTACAGTGGCTCCACCAGCCCCACGATGCTTCCAGTATAAATTAGTGTTTGCCAGAGGCAAACGGATCGGAACTGAAATCCCAGGATCACTCCGACACGAGAGCTTACTCATGGGCGATGACCCTTTCAGTCCTATATGGCGACATAGAGATCACCCACTAACAGTACGAAACTGTTTCCCAGCGTCACCCTGTTACGAGCTTACTCAATGGGGGTTTCCCTTCGGCTCCACAAGAGATCAGACCAAGAAGCGAGATCACCCAGACACCAGAACTTACTTTGTTGGGACATAACCCTTCGGCCCTATAATGTGACATTAGAGATCACCTGTGAAGACAGTCCGATAGAGATGAAGATTTGTGTGATAGGGGATACCTTCCACACCCTGGAATTAGCCAAGCCATATAATGTTGATAATTGCTATATCATAACATAGCATTGTCAATTTAATATTATTTACTTAATACCAAGAATACTCAAGGTTCAAGTTAAATCTGTTGATTAGGCCGGAGCCTAAGAACGAGTAGTCCAACCCATAGGTCGAGAGCTACTAAAAGTAATGAGTGCTATTGAATGAACTATAAGTCCAGTCAATTATATATAATATTATTGTTGATTAACCACATTGTGAATTAACCAATTATTTATTCAGAGAGATATATCTAAAGGAACTATAAGTCCTTTAAAAGACACTGATTAATCACAAGTTAACAACATCTCGTGAAATAGCCAGTTGGGTTTTCTATAAGTTTGAGGACACTAAGTCCAACAAGCTATTATTGTTTTGAGAGTAATAGAGATCTTTTGTAGTATTTGTAGAGGTTTGATTAATCACATAGTGAAATAATCAGATTAAATAATTATGTAGCTTTATAGAAAGGACTATAAGTCCTAATTGGTTGTTGTCATAAGTACTGATAAATTACACATAAAGTGCCAGGTCAATTATTATATATAGGTATATAGGAAGGACAATAAGTCCTATTTGTGTATGTTGTAGTAGTAGAGGCAATATATTGTATAATTATAATGTAAAAGACATAGATTAAATATATATTTGTATAGAAAGGACAGTAGGTCCCATACAATTATTGTAGTTGTACTATAGTTATACTATATCTACTTCCTTTTAGTGTCTTAGTAAACCTATTTACTAAGAGGATTTCTCAGATAAACAAGTGTTTTAGTGTTTAAATCATCATGATTAAATCCCTAAGAAATTAGGTCTTTAAATAATTATCATATCATTTAAGTAAAATTTCTCATATAAATAATTCCAATATTTCCCCTACAGTTATT